AAAAAAAAAAAAAAAAAAAAAAAAAAAGATGAAGACAACAAAAAGATGTTTTCTACCTTAAAATAACACAACTGTGCAATCATGTCTCGTAAAAGGGTTTTTCTTTTGTGTATTTTTCTGGCCATTTCTGCAATTGTTGACGAAGCCGAGTCGTTGAAGAGTAAGCAAAAAAAAAAAAAAAAGCAAAAAAAAAAGAGATAGGTATAGAGGGATAACATTGAGGAGGGGGAGTCACACCCAACTGTGATACACGCGTGTGCAATTATGCGGGTTGTATGAGACTGTCCACACCCCAAATAAAAGAATAAATAATAAAAAAAATAATAAATTCCCCCTTGCAGAGCCAAGCGCGACAACGAATGTCTCCTTCCTGCAGTTCAGGGAAGATGGTAAACCTCAAGAGGGACAGGCGGGGGACCACACGCAGGGGCAGGAGGAGCCAAGTGAACCCATTGTGAATACCCTGCCGTTGCAGGAAAATGTAACTGAACCCACTAACCATTCGGAGGAGTCCACTGGGGGAAACTCTGAGAAGGGAAATGACGGCGCCCACGTGGAGCCAACACAGGGGGGAAGCAATGGGGAAACCCCCCACGACGGAGAACACGACAAAGGGAACAACGGAAGCGACGCAAACGTTGGCGCAAGCGTCGGCGCAAACATCAGCTCTAATGGGGAGGTGGAGGGAACGACGCATGGACACGCGCAACAAGCGCCAAACGACCATGCCGGCGGGCAAGTGAGTAGTGAGAATAATGACGCACACAGTGAGAGTACCACCACGGGCTCTACTTCAGATAAGGAGGAGCACGACTTGCATACACACACCCCTTCAGATAAAGAAGAAAACAGCTCCCCAGCCATGACTAATGTGCACAATGAGGTAGACGCGAAAGGAGGAAACGCCTCTGAATCGGCAACCTCAAGTGAAAATGAAGCATCCGGACATAATGTGCCCCATGAGGTGCCACCCAAAAATGCTGAGGACAGTAAGGAGCTGGATTCCTACACGGGAGCACTGGTACCTTTTCATGGCCACCATGCCCAGCACGCAGCGAATGCGGAGCATGGGGGACATACACCAGAACATGCAGAAAATGCTGCACACACAGACAATGTTGGGCATACAGAAAATGCTGCACATGCTGCACATGCTGCACATACAGAAAACGATGCACATGCTGCACATGCTGCACATGCTGCACAGGCTGCACAGGCTGCACATACGGAAAATGCTGCACATACGGAAAACGCTGCACATGCTGCACACACAGAAAATGTTGCACATGCTGAGCATGATGAACATGATGCACATGCTGAGCATGGAGAGCATGATGCACATGCTGAGCATGGAGAGCATGGAAAACACGAGCAGGAAGGAGAACACGGTGAAGAGGGCGACCACCAGATATATGGAACGCTCCACCCAGAGGTGGAAGCGTCCGTGTTGTCCTCGCTGAAGGAAAAAGGAATCCACGTGTCCAGCACAGAAAGAGTAATCGTTGAGATCATCGAAAGCGCCAAGGAAGGAGTAAAGGGATTATTAAAATTACGTAAAAGCAAAGACACTGGAAAATTGCTACAAGAGGCTCTAGAAAAACTGAAGATAAATCAAAGAGATCTACACTCGAATAATAATTTTATTACCCTAGAAATGTACGATAAAATTCTTTCAGAAATATTTAAAATATTAACAGAAATGTCTTTTTATAAGGATGCCCATTTTTACGGAACGTTAGGTTTAGACAAATCTCTTCTAAACGAATCGCTAAAACAAATTAAAATAAAAATGCTGAGGAGCATTGGAGTGGCATATACCAAATTACCTCCAATTGTTAAGAGTAAAGAGAAAGGAAGCACATGTGCAGTTAATAATCTCATCATTAGCATTACGTCAAAGGAGCTAGCTCAACGAATGGCAATTATGTTTTCAAAATGGCTAGCTCCAGAAGAATATGGATCTGTGGTGGACTTGGATAAAAGTATAGAATTAAATGTCCTTTGTGCAGGGGCAACTATCCTAGTACAACAATGGAAGTACTACCAAAATATGTTAGGGTTCGAAGTGGGCAATGAGCATGCCTTTTTAAATTTAATCGATGAGCTGTTAGTCATTGACAAAAGACATAGTAATAATGAACAGTATTCTAAAGTACTAAAGAAAATAAAAAAGTCCAAAGCTTTTAATTATTGTACAAAAGTTATGAGGACTGCAGGAAATATTTCTTCTATTCCATTTAATCATGAAAACAATAAAACGCCCAGCTATTCCATTGTGGGGTCGTTAGGGAACCTGGTGAAGGCTCACATGGGCAATTACTACACTGCCATTGCTAACAGAATAAACTCCTACTTTTCATATGCTGGCAAGAGGAATAAAAAAAGTGGTCCTTTAAAAGTTATCTCCGTTTGCACTCTCCTTCATTTGACTGATATGCTTTTCAACTGCTCTGATGAGCACATGAAGAACATTTTGGACCTCAACACTTTGAAGCTGAACATTTTGAACATGCAGGGAAAGCGTGTCCTGCAGCCCCTCGTCAAGATGAGCTTCCTGACCGGGACGCAGAACGCCCTGCTGAAGGAAATCTGCGAGCCCAACCACCACCTAATAGGTAAGCGACAGGAATGATGGGTGGCTGCCTCCCTGGGGAGGTTGTTATGTGTGCACGTTGATTTCGCCCTAAATTTGTTCCACGCTGTGACTTACGCCACTGCTTTAATAACGCTGCTTTATTAATGCTGCTTTATTAACGCTGCTTTATTAAAGCCGCTTTATTCACACCGACTTCTTCCCCTTCACTCCTCTCAGACGAGACGCTGTCGAAGCTGCTCAACCTTGTCTCAACCAGTTCGCACGAATTGCTCGCAGCTGAGGTGGAAAAGCGGGGCTTCGACGAGGACTACATGCAGGAGGAAATCAAAAATATAAACGAGAGCGATAACAACATTCGGGACAAAGGAGAAGACGAAGTGGAAAATCTCATTTTTGAAGATTTGTGAAATTAGCTTTCTACGTTGGAAGCGCACATGTGTGATGATCACGTAAAGAGACGGAGCTAGTTAGGGGGGTTTCTTCAGTTAGGTGGCTGTTTGAAAAAAGCGTTTTTTTCATTTAACCGGGGAAACACGTAGGCGCAAGCTGGTGCCTGAATAGCCCTTGGAGGAACCCTCCCTTGTTCCCGCCCTCAGAATGACGAAATAGCGTGTCTCCTTAGGGACGCAATTCGTAGCACTGTCTAATAGACTCAAACGGGAATTGTTTACCATGTAGCTATGCTTCCGTTACGTTGCGTTCTTTTTTATTTTTATTTTGTTCATATTTTTTTTCGCTTTTTTTTATGACTTGTTCAGGTGTTTTTTTTTTCCCCGTTCGGCCTTTTGCATCCTTTTCTCTATTTTTTTTTTTTTTTGTTGTTGTTTTACCTTGTTTTAGTTTTTAAGATTTTTCCTACCCACAATTTGCAAAAGTGATCACTTCACAATTTGGTCCTCTTTGCGAAAACGATTATAACCATGTTAGCATAGAAGAAGCAGCATATATTTTGTTTGCACAAAATGGGAGAGTATCACACTTGGACTTTTTTTTTTTTTCTGCTAATAATTCATTTTGTAGTTTTTCTTTTGTTTTTTGATCAGTTGTGTTTATAATAACATTTTTGAATTATGTCTTGAATAAGAAAAATGTTACACATTAATGGGGAGGATTTGCACTCGGATCGCGTTGGACGCGGCGTAGCGTGGAACACGGAAAAAAATAGCATCAACATGGTATCAGGTGCTCATAACAAATGAGGCAAACAAAAAAAAAAATAAAAACAAAAAAAAGGCACAAGCTGGGGTAAAAGGGGGTGATCTTGTTCTCACACCTTCCAAATGAGCATGCGCCGCAATGTTTACGTGTAGACGAAGCAACACAGTTCAGTGCTCATGGGTCACAAATAACTATGTCTCATTAATAAATTGTGACTTTGTTGCGAAAAGAAATCACAAATGAGGGGAAAACAAACGGAAAAAAACAGCTAGCCAAACGAACAGAAGGAGTAATAATACGAATGGAAGAATTGCTGATGGAAAAAAACGGAGGGCGCGAAAAAATTGCAGAGGGGGGTCTGCACGTTGTGTGGAAGGTCGAAATGGCAACTACGCCATGACACAATTACGTGTATGTATCAGTAGACATGCACATATGGAGAAAACGCGCTCTTGTGCGGAACCGTACACTAAGGCAAAAACGATTTCAATTATCCCACGACGCACAAATCAAACGTTTTCCTCTTTCGAACTTTCGTCATGGCTCGCTAAAAATGTATCATCCATGTCGACGTTGTTGATGTTGAGGTATATGTCGTTCAGCGGGTACAAATAGTCTTCTGAGAGAGGGAAAAAAAAAAAAAAAAAAAATGCAACAATGTTTCTGTGTAAATCTGAATTTTTTCTTAGAGCGTAGACCACTCTGCGAAAGAACATTTCCCAATCCTATTTTTAGAATCCATTTGGGTTAGCTTACTGGTAGGGTACAGATTTTCGGGGTTCAGAGGGAAGAACCACTTCCACTTGAATTCGCCAAACACCTGTATGTTGTGAGTTGTGCGGGCATACGATGAGTACTGTCTTTATCCTTTTTTTTTTTTTTTTTTTTTTGTTTCACTTCTTTGTTGCGGCTCCCTTGGCCGTCTTCAAAATTGTGCCTACCATTTTCCAATTATTGTACGTGCCCAAGTCATAGGGGTTCTGCGGGGGAAGGCGAGTATAGAAAATTGGTACAAAAAATTTGTAGCCTTAGCAGAATAACTAAATTAGCCCCATCGTGTGGAACATGACTAAGGGTGTAACGCCTGACGCAGTGTCGAATCCTCTGCTTTCCCTTCTTTACTCACCTTATCCGTGTAAGACGACTCTATTATGGTGATGTTACGAGAAATGAAATAGACGTACTGGCAGTTCATCTGAGGGGGAGAGAAGGTGGCAAAAAGGGGGGGGGTACCCCGTGTGTATATAGACATGCTGAAATTTTCAAGCAATCAGCTGATTGGCCCCTGGGAGGGGTTTATGCAAACTGTGAAGCATTTTCTTTTTCTTTCTTTGTTACGAAAATTAGAGCTATCATCATTGACAGGGAAGCACAGACGGCTATAGAGGAGGGGGGTGACAATGGATGGGTTGTATTTCCTTCAGTGGAGATATACACACACGGGGGTAAACTTATATGCACGGATGTCTACGCGAAGCACATAGGCTGAGCATCAACAACACGTGCACATTTTCTACCCACTGGGGGGGGCAAATATATTTTTCATGTTCTGTTTACTGATCAGCAGGGCGCCATGGTGCAGCGTTTGGGAGGCCTATTTGAGGGGGGGCAAGAAATAAGCAAGCAAATGAACAAAGGAACACATGAACAAGTATACATGTACGGATAGACTCACTGGGGGACCTACATAAAGTGACCAACCTTAATGCACCAGCGCATGCTTCGTGGTATAACTCCCCTCTCACGCGATTACCTTGTTACTATCGCTTTCGTACAGGGCCAGTATAAACTTGGGGCTCATCGTAACGGCCATGTACACCGTTGTGAGGAGCCCGTAGGACAAGAAGAGGAAAAAAAACTTCAAGTTCCTTTCACCCACGCAGGTGCCTATCCATGGGCAGTGGTGGTCCATCTTCAGTACGCATCTGTTGCAGGACTGGATGGTGGGGAGAAGCGATCGGGTGTGCCATATGGCGTATACGTGCCATATACGTGCAGTATACGTGGCGGCAACAGTTGTAGCATTCCTTCTAAATACACACCTTGCCGTGAATATTCCCCTTTGGTATGGGCCACGGCGTGCGGCTTACCCGGCAGTGGTGGGCCCTCTCTGGCCTCACGAGAAAATTGCATTTGTCACAGATGGTATATTTATTTGGGGTGTAATTTCTAATTTTCCGCTTTTCGATCTGTATGTTATTTTCTTCTGCATTTGCTGAGGGGGGAGGGGAGGGGAAAGTGCTCTCCATGGGCGGGGTGTCAACATCATATGTGGTAGCCTCTCAAGCCAGTTGCCACTCGCATCTCACCTTCCCACGTTGTGTCCACATATCCTGGGTTGTTAAGGGAGCACTTTAAAAAGGACCAATAGTAGCAGACAAAAAAGGGGGCGCTGAGCACACCCAGGATTATGCGCACCGTGCGACCGTAGCTGTTTAGGTATTCATTTTGGAGGCAGTCTACAGCAGGGGGGAGAAGGAGGGTGTGCTCCATGTTTTGTCGTTCTTCCATATACGTTTATGTGCACGTTTATGTGCACGTTTGTGTGGACGATAGTGTGCTCGTTTATGTGCACGTTTGTGTGGACGATTGTGTGCTCGTTTATGTGCACGT